GAGACAGGGCACCTTTCCAGCAGAGATGCTTCTGCTGGCCACAGCTCGGGTCTGAGATATGAGGTCCCTGTGACCTCGCTCATGGAGAAGGTTAATGTAGGTGACTTCAAAGTCCCTTTTGGCTTCATTTACTGCTGTCAGCCCCACCAGCCGTGTGCTGTTGGTTATCCAGAAAGTGTTTAGGGTTCAGCATATGCCATGAAGCTTTTTCTTTTGTCTGAGTTCTTTCACAGCTGGTTTATGGTGCCATGTGATGATAGTCTACCAGAGGAAGGGTGGCTGCATTAGGTCCCCTATGTAAGGAGGTCCCACAAGGTGTTCAAGATGACCTCCTCTGGCCTTCAAATCCCTGAATTTGGCAATGTAGTGCTCCTCTTGTCTGTGCGTGTAGATCTGTGGTCACCATAGTGTCTGCTGGTGTTTTCCACCCAGCCTCGCGTGTGGTGGAGGAAGATTAATTAGTTGTTGCTGAAAGAGTGCTTTGAGACACCTGTGGCTGAGGACGTGGCGCAATAAGGTGTCATTCGGCTGTAGGATGTGATGAAGTCATGAAAAATTGCTGAATCTCACTTAAAGCAATGTGAGGGAGAGGATTGAACTTTTTTTTTATACTTTGCTGGTATAATAACCCTTCTTTTTTTCACCGAGCTAATAAGCTGCTGAGTACGTTTGTGCCCATAATGGCCGTTTCATGCCTGAGAAATCTGGTGGCTTTAGAGGGCTATTGAAATGTAAAAACTTTAAGAAGAGATAGAAATGTTTCAAGTCCCCGAATCAAATACTTTTCCCATTCCCCCTAACCTGTTTTTACCAGATTAGTTGCTTGTATTAAAGCAGAAAAGTTTCCTGAAAATTGACTTTTATCTCTCTCAAGAGTTAGATTTTCTGTCTAATAAGGCGATGCCCTCGTTCCTGCAGCTCGGGATGTGAGAGATCAAAACCTGGTCTCGAGATCAAAACCTGGTCTTGCCTGGGGAGGCACCAGGCTTGGACCCTCTCGGGAGGGGACAGAGAGATGGAAGGAAGGTTTTGAGTCTCAGCCACATCAGTCCCATCTCGGATCGCTGTCCATGGGTCCCCACGTGATTCCTTGGTGTAGGGGAAAATGCAGGGATTTACAAAAGCCTTGCCAAAAAAAGATTTGCAAATAGTTGTCTGATGAAGATTAGCTGCATCCTAGAAGTGCTGTAAATAGGGATAGTTTCTTTGAAAACAAGCCATCAAAGGCAACAGCTTTAGGTTGCTCTCAACTTTTTCTGGAGCTAATGTGATGAACTGAATGTGGTTATTCAAGGCGTGGAGGCATCCAGCTCCATCCTTCTCCCTAGGGAGGAGTTTAATGCTGGTGCACTGATCTCTCTTGGCCTCTGGGGTCCCCAATTTCAGGCAGGATCTGCTTCACTTTCTGAATTGACAATAGCTGCATCGTGGTGTTGTTCAGCAAGTTACGGGAAAACAAGTCAATCAATAAGATTTGCCAGGTTTTTTCCTCGGGATCCATCGATTTACAGGCTGCTTAAATCTTAAATACTCCCAGATGAAAGGCAGGAGGACACCTGTTTTCTCTGAAATGCAAAAGCTGAGCACTGGCACGTGCAGACCTGCAGAGCTTCAGACATGGTAGAATAACCTGAAATGTGCTTGTTGGAGAGTGGTTTGGCAGCTCCATCAGCCAGTTCCCTTGGGACTCTGGGGCGCGTCTCGTCAGGTCCCATAGACTTCTGCATGTTCAGGTTCCTCGGGTGGTTGCGAACCTGATCTTCTCCTGCAGTGAGAGGGACTTTACTCCTCCAGTCCCAGCCTTGTGGTCCATGGACTGGAGAGGATTGGGGAGAGAGTGAGGCAAAGTGAAGACTGTGGCAAAGAAGTTGTTGAGTCCCTCAGCCTTCTCCTTGTCCATTGTTACCAGTTTGCCAGTCTTGCTCATCGGGGGGATAAGCTTTCTTTGGCCTTCCTTTTCTGGCCCACACACCTGTAAGAAGCCCTTCTTTGCATCCCTTGCCAAGTTCAGCTCCAGCCATGCCTTGGCCTTCCTGATCACAACCCTACACAACCGAGGAACATCCCTGTACTATTCCCAGGTACCTGTCACTGCTTTCATGGCCTCCACGGTTCCTTCTTGCCCTTTATTTTGACCAGCAGGTCCTGACTCAGCCATGCTGGTCTCTTGCCTTCCTTTTCTGATTTCTTACACCTGGGGATGGAGAGCTCTTGTGCCCTATGGAAAGCATCTTTAAAGCTCTGCCAGCTCCGTTCTGCTCCCTTGTCCCTGAGGACAGTTTTCCAGGGGGGTCCTGTTGACTTAACTCCTTGAAGAGCTGGAATTTTTCCATCCATCCACCTTCAACTGGCAAGGAAGAACCTTGCCTGGAAAGCGTATCAATTTACAGTGGATTCGGTCCAATTTCTGCTAATCCTAATGAGTAAGACACCCACAGACTTCACTGAGATCAGCCTTTTGGAGGAAATACCATCGGAACAGCCCCACGCAGCGTGGCACGTGCTTATTAGCAGAAGGCTACATTATCTATCTCTGCTGGGTTTAATAAGGCTGCAGAATTCCTAGAAGGCAGGATCTGCAATGGGAGGAAAAAATTGGTGGTCACGAAACTCCCTCAGGAGAATCATAGAATTGTCCAGGTTGGAAGGGACCTTTCAGATCATGGAGTCCAACCGTCAACCCAACACTGACAAACCCACCACTGACTCATGTCCCTCAGCACCACGTCTGCCCAGCTTTTCAATCCCTCCAGGGATGGGGACTCCACCATTGCCCTGGGCAATATCTTTCAAGGCTTCACCACTGCCCTGGGCAGCCTCTGCCAAGGTTTGGCAACCATTTCGGTGTAGAAATTTCTCCTAACATCCATCCTAAACCTTCCCTGGTGCAACTTGAGGCCATTTCCTGTTGTCCCAAACAGTGCTGCTTTCAGAAGCCCATCTTGTATCATTGTTGAGCTGGAGAGAGTGGTGCAACTTGAGGCCATTTCCTCTTGTCCCAAACAGTGCTGTTTCAGAAGCCCATCTTGTATCGTTGTTGAGCTGGAGAGAGTGATGACCAGTTCCCAACTGGCCCAGGCTGGAATTGACTGGAGGGGCCCTTGCCTGTGTGAGAAACCATGGAACCTGCTCTCGGGTGGTTTTGCAGTCGCTGCCAACCCTGAAGTTGAGAGCTGCTGTGCAGGGGGGGTTGCAGAAAATTTCCTAAGGCTTTTAACCACTCACGTAATAAAATCAGATCCTGTAAATGCACTGGATGATTAATTAGAAAAGGGTTGGAAATCAGGGCTAATGACTCTTCATTAAAAAGATGAGATGCCTGTGTCCCACTGGAAGCTTTCAGCAGCCCCCACCAAGGTCTGCTTTGCTGCCCTCTGCGATGTTCTTAGTTTTGTCATCATATCAGTTTGCCAAAGTGCTCTTCCAGTCCAAAAAGCATCTCTGAGCGGGGCCCAGCTGCCCCATCTGGAGCCATGTCCCCTCTTTCTGAGCCAGCAAACCTTCTGCTTCTCCTGGTGCAGCTGCAAGAGCACTTGTGTTTGCTAAAGCCAGTCACAGATACAGCTGTGGTGATGAGGAGAAGATTTAAATTCTCCTTGTTGTCAATTGGGGGACCACTCTTGGCTTCTCTCCTTCCCTGGTTGGTACATCCAGAGGATGCCCACAGCCTCTTGGCTTTGGTGATGCTTCTGTGGAGGTGGCCTCCTTGTGTCCAGGTCTTCCTTGGCCTCCTGAGCCAGTGCCTTAGGACCAATGTTGTTCCAGATCTCCTATTTTTTTGACTCCTGTCTTACCAGTTGCCTCCTCTCCCACTTCCCTCCCCATCACCCTGCGATCTCTCTTCTTGTGTTCCTGCAATCCCTCTTTTTCCACCAATTCCCAGGGAGAGAAGGTGTCGCTGGGAGCATCTGCTGGCTCACAGTGGCTCTGATAGCAAATACAAACGCCGTGCTGATTTTTGCCCTGCTTCTCCACCTGGGGAGAGAAAAGGGGGAAGAAATTCCTGCGTTGGCATTGTCTGTCCCTGCTTTTGCCTTCTCCTGGGGCACTAATTGCGTGGCAGCTCTCCTGGAGTGCCCTGCGCCGCCGCCGCGTCGAGCTGCATCATTCGTTCACCTCCCTGCCATAAATTGCTCGTGCTTTTGATGGATCTTCAGTGAAATATTTTAATGCATTCTTGTCGAATGTTCCATTTCCCCCCCTTCCCCTCCCCAGCAGCTATTGACAGATGAAAAGCACTGAGGCTGGCTTTGCACGGGGGTTTAATCATCCCAGCTGTCGTGCAGATCCCCCATACAAATATTTCCCACTCTTAATGGTTTCAGTGTGGGCTTTTTTTTATGTGATCGAATGTAATCTTATTTAATGGAGTTTTATTGCCGTGACGCCTTATTCTTTTCACCAGGCTGGACTTTTATTTTTAAATCAAGAGGGATTGTTCAGAGGAGAGCCAGAGAAACGACTGGAGGGATTGAGCAGGACGGGAAGCCTGGGATGAACAGAGTGACCATAGATCAGCCAGGGCAGGAGAAAAGTCTAAGAGGGAGAGAGAGAAAGGGTCCAGCGTGGAAGGGGCAGTCAAGAAGAAGGACAAATTCAGTCTGATTTCACCCGTGTATGGCTGGGGATAAGGGAGGTTACACAGTGGGGGGCGTTGGAAGAGGTTGGAGAGGGGGAGGGATTTTAAATGAATTGTGTCCAGGGCAGAAATTATGGGGAGCTGCAGAAACAGTTCAGTTCAGATCAGACAAGCACAGCCCTTACAGCTCCTGCCTGGCATCCCGGGGCTCGGGCTCAGCTTTGGCAGCCCAGTGAGAGGCAGAAGGGCTGGAAGCTGGAGCTGGCACCGGTGTGAGCCGATGGTTTTTCCTTGGGAAGCGTTTCCCCATCGCAGGGGCTGTGAAGCGGTGCCGAAATGCTGGACCTCCGGAGCGAGCAGCCCCTAAATCTCTTCTCTGTGTCCCTTCAGCTGCTGTAACGACCGTGTGTTCATCTTGTAGGTTGTCCGCACCGAGAAGAACAGCCTGAACAACAGGTTCCTGCCGTGGGATGAGATCGAGACGGAGGCCATCCTCTCCATCGACGACGATGCCCACCTTCGCCACGACGAGATCATGTTTGGGTTCCGGTGAGTAGCCTCCATCACGGAGCCTTTGGACCCAAACTGATGTTTTCCATGTCCAGAGTCTGCTCAGGTGCAGCGTGGCCTCCTGGCTAAAGCCGAGGCCAGAATTAGGACTAGCACGTCCCTTCCCATGGCTTTCCAACTCAATTTCTTGGGGGAGTAATGCATGCTAACGAGCTGTTTAATGAGTGCAGGCAGGTGGGCTGATTTCAGGTTGTCCAGGCAACCCTGATGCTCACGCTTCCTCACCTCCACTCTTCAGCTTTTGCTGTGCTGATAACCTTCCCTTAATGGTTCTGGGGTGTGTGGCTTCCTAAGGTGGAAGGCAACTGGAAAACAAATCCAAGAGGCTGCTGTGCTCCATCTTTTGGGTGCCGTTGGCCAGGCCAGGACCTTCTCAGCCTTGGCAGGACGTGATGCTCGTGTGATGCTGCTGTTGCTCATTGTGACATTGGGATGGGACAGCTCTTTCAGTGTTTTTTTTTTCACTGCAGAGCATGGAAAAGGCAGATTTTACACAGAAAAAGCTGGTGCTGGTTGCTCTCATCCCCACCTTCCTTCTCCAGCATCTACGTTCCCCCTTGACTTTGCCCTGGCCAAAAGCTGCCTGATTTTGGGGCCAAGGGAGAAGGTGGTTACGTGGGCTCCTGCCGTGGGGGTTTTTGCAGGCTGCTCCTGCAGGAAAACTCACCGGCTGCCCAAGAGGTGCTGGGGAGTGAGGATGGCACAAGGAGAGAGTGCTTGGAGCTCGTTTGGCTGTGGCTCATCAAGCTGCTGGGCACGGAGTGGGGGCTGCCATCCCGAATCCGAGAGCAGCCGGGGGGGCGGGAGGTGGGACCAGCTCTCCACGCTCACCAAAACGTGTTGGGAGGAAGATTAAAAGGCACAAAGCGCCTGCAAACCCAACGAGCTCTCGCCCAGCGATGAGAAACGAGGTGTTAAAGTGATTAAAGCCGGGGAGTGGGCGTCAGGACTCCTGGCTTCCCTTCCCTGCCCCATTTCAGGCTCTTTATCTGAATTTGGCCATTTTCTCCCCCCTCTTTGGTCTCTGTTTTCCTCTGTTTTCGCCCTGGAGAGCCTCAAATGAAAATTCTAGGGGCTGTGTATTATTTTCACTCATTTCCCTGTTCCCACAAAGCCTCCCTGTGCCGACGCGTTCAGCCGGGGACGAGTCACTGTCTTGGAGACCAAGTGAAAACTGGGTTTTCTTGAAGCTTTGCTTCAGGCTGTAATTCTTGGGGCCAAAAAAACCCTCTTCTTGCTCCGTTTGCTGCTCAGGAGCCGAGCTGGAGGCGAGTATCCCCGAGCAAACCTTCCTGAGGAGCGCTCCCGAAAGGATTCTCTGGAGATGTCCTTATTTTGGGGGCTAAGCTGGGAAGGAGAAAGCGTCACGTTCGTAGGAAAGTGAGATGTGGGAGAAGTGAAAGGGGATGAGTAGTTTCGACTCATTTTGGCTTTTCAAAACAATCCCACTGGATTGACAGAAGCTGCAGTGAACAAGTGCCTGCCGGGAGGATGGTGCCAGGAGAGCTGCTGGCGCTGTTAATGACTCGGTTTTCATTACCAGGTTATAGCCGAGTTTCATTAATTTGAGTAGAGGATGTAACAATAAATGCATTTTTTTGCTCCTGGCTGTGTCAGGAAGGGTAATGAAAGCTCAGGGTTCTTGGAAACTCGTTGGTGATCGCCCTGCAGCCCTCACTTCTCTGGCTCTGCACGGGAATGGGGGCTGTGGGAGGAACTGGCAACTCACATCCACGAGGGAAAAAACCCAAAAAGACCACTTCTGCCCTATTTTGTGGCTGTGAAGAAAGGAAAAGCCTTCCTTGTCCAACAAGCTCTCGCCCAGGACACTGGGTTTGGTGCTGCAGCTCGGACACCTGGCCGTGGAAGCTGGGTTTAATTCCCAGGTTAGGCATTAAGCACTTGACGTTTTCCTTAACTATTCCTGCTGGAGCTGCAGCTGTCCTGTGGGATTTCTCTGGAGGAGAGTGGGCTTCAGCTGAGAGCAGAATATTTAAGCAAGCCCACGCTCTTCACACGCCAACCTCAGGTTCTAATTCCCCACGGCTCGACTGCGAGCGCCTGTTAAGGGCAAAGGATGCTCTTACAGCCCCAAGAGGGTTTTCCCAAATGGACAGAGCCCAGGAAGCTGGTTTGGGATGGGAAACTGGCAATTTGGCACCAGGGTCACAGAATCTCAGAATCACAGAATCTTCTAGGTTGGAAGGGACCTTAAAGATCATCTTGTCCAACCGTCAACCCAACTGACAAAAATAGACACCCACACAACAAACAAGGAGCATCATCACTAAACCATCCCTCCCAGCACTACATCAACCCCTCTTTTGAACACCTCCAGGGATGGTGCCTCAACCACCTCCCTGGGCAGCCCATTCCAATGGCTGAGAACCCTTTCAGTGAAAAAATTTTTCCTAATATCCAGCCGGAACCTCCCCTGGCGTAACTAGGGTCTTCAGCATCTCAGCAGCTTCCCTAAAGGGAGCTTGATGTTGACCCTACGGAGGAGGAAACTGAGCTTCTGGGAGATGGGAATTCCTAGGGATTTGGGGGAAGAGGCCAGGAGATGTTGGGTTCCTCCACCAGCCCTGGTTTCTCTGGACGTTTTGTAGAGGGGAATAGGAGAGAAGCAGCGCTGGCGTACGTGTCATGCAGGGATGTCCCTGTATGGGCTGTGGGAAGCTGGTGGCAAATGGAAGAGTTTCCCTGCCTCTTTCTCTGCCTTTCCCTCCCAGGTCTTAAGTTTTCCATTCTCTGTGTCGTTCAGAAACCAGTTCTGGGCCACTGGGGGTTTTTGTGACTTTTCTTTGAAGGCTACAGAACAGCCCTTATGAGTTAGGAAATCTCCAATTTATGAGTCAGGAGCACTTTCCCTGTGAATGAGCAGCTCGAACGTGCCTCTAGGAGAGGACCAAGGTCAGCTTTGGACCAAGGTCAACTTTTTGGTCCAAGCTCAGAGCAGCTCGAACGTGCCTCTAGGAGAGGACCACGGTCAGCTTTGGACCAAGGTCAGCTTTTTGGTCCAAGGGGCTTTGGACCAAGGGGCGTTGGTCTGTGGTCCCAGCCTGTGGCCAAGGGATGTGTCAGTTCAGGTTTAACAGCTTTTAACCTTTAATGAGAGAAGGTCAATAAATTCTGCCTGTCCATTAAGGCCAAGATTTCTGCGTTCAGCCCTTTCCTGCGCTTCAATAGGAAAAAAAGTGGAGTTATCTCGGGGCTTTGGACCAAGGGGCGTTGGTCTGTGGTCCCAGCCTGTGGCCAAGGGATGTGTCAGTTCAGGTCTAACAGCCTTTAGCCTTTAACAAGAGAAGGTCAATAAATTCTGCCTGTCCATTAAGGCCAAGATTTCTGCGTTCAGCCCTTTCCTGCGCTTCAGTAGGAAAGAAAGTGGAGTTATCTCGGGGAGAGACCTTGTTCACGTGTCACTCGGGCGGCTGTGACAGCCAGTGGGTCCATCCTGACAACAGCAGAACCTCAGGGCTGCGGAGTTGGGCAAGAGTCTCAACAGTCTACATAAAAAGATGCCTTTTGCATGTTGGAATTTTCCATATTTTTATTTTTAAAAAATTAAATGGACTTCAAAGCAAGGTAATTGCACATTTGAACCACGTTTATCCTTTTTTCCCAAACTACAATGGCTGTTGGCCATTCTTTGGATGAGAAGTTGCCCAACTCCTTTATGTATAGGCATTTCCACCACTTGCAGCCCCCCTTGGGAGCTGCTCCATTGGTGTTGAGGACATAGTCCTGCATGTGGGTCTCAGCCAGAGCCAGGCTTGTCTCTGGCCAGGCTCCCTGGGTCTGTGTCTCACTGGAAGGCTTTGTGTTTGCAGGGTCTGGAGAGAGGCGAGGGACCGCATCGTTGGCTTCCCGGGGCGCTACCATGCGTGGGACATCCCCCACCAGTCCTGGCTCTACAACTCCAACTACTCCTGCGAGCTCTCGATGGTGCTCACTGGTGCTGCCTTCTTCCATAAGGTGAGGTGGGACCACAAAGCCCTGAGCTTTCCCTTCCTTCTCAGAGCAACCAGAGTCTGTGTGTTTGTGGGGTTGAGTTGGGTTTTTTCTTAAAGAACAGATTTTGAACCTCACCAACCCCTTTCCCTTGCTTCCTCCAAACTGAAACGTGGCCAGCAACTGGTCTGTGTCCCAGTGAATGGTCTCCTTACATTTCAGTGATGCTCTTGGTCACGGCGAGGGCAAGGACAGGACAAGGGGTAACGGTTTTAAATTAGAAGAGGGGAAATTTAGATTAGATATGAGGAAGAAATTCTTTACTGTGAGGGTGGTGAGAACCTGGCCCAGGTTGGCCCGAGAAGCTGTGGCTGCCCCATCCCTGGAGGGGTTCAAGGGCAGGTTGGAGGGAGCTTGGAGCAACCTGGTGTGGTGGGAGGTGTCAGGGGTTGGAACTAGATGATCTTTAAGGTCCCTTCCAACTCCAACCATTCTATGGTTCTAAGGAGGGCCATGGGATCGCCCACCCTTCCTTTTTTACTGCAGCATCTTGGATCTTACAGACGCCAAGTGCTGCAACGGGCAGTTTGTGGGCAAGTCATGGGTTTCTGCAGCTGAACCCATCATTTCTCAATTTCTGAGGTTACAGGAGCTTCGGGACTCCGTCAGGTTAGATTTGCTGCTGCTGTGGCTACAGCAGATCTCCTGGGTGTTGGATTAACTCCATTATCAGGTTGGCCCGAGAAGCTGTGGCTGCCCCATCCCTGGAGGGGTTCAAGGGCAGGTTGGAGGGAGCTTGGAGCAACCTGGTGTGGTGGGAGGTGTCAGGGGTTGGAACTAGATGATCTTTAAGGTCCCTTCCAACTCCAACCATTCTATGGTTCTAAGGAGGGCCATGGGATCGCCCACCCTTCCTTTTTTACTGCAGCATCTTGGATCTTACAGACGCCAAGTGCTGCAACGGGCAGTTTGTGGGCAAGTCATGGGTTTCTGCAGCTGAACCCATCATTTCTCAATTTCTGAGGTTACAGGAGCTTCGGGACTCCGTTTTCTTAAAGAACAGATTTTGAACCTCACCAACCCCTTTCCCTTGCTTCCTCCAAACTGAAACGTGGCCAGCAACTGGTCTGTGTCCCAGTGAACGGTCTCCTTACATTTCAGTGATGCTCTTGGTCACGGCGAGGGCAAGGACAGGACAAGGGGTAACGGTTTTAAATTAGAAGAGGGGAAATTTAGATTAGATATGACGAAGAAATTCTTTGCTGTGAGGGTGGTGAGAGCCTGTCCCAGGTTGCCCAGAGAAGCTGTGGCTGCCCCATCCCTGGAGAGGTTCAAGGCCAGGATGGAGGGGGCTTGGAGCAACCTGGTGTGGTGGGAGGTGTCAGGGCTTGGAAATAGATGATCTTTAAGGTCCCTTCCAACTCTAACCATTCTGTGGTTCTAAGGAGGGCCATGGGATCGCCCACCCTTCCTTTTTTACTGCAGCATCTTGGATCTTACAGACGCCAAGTGCTGCAACGGGCAGTTTGTGGGCAAGTCATGGGTTTCTGCAGCTGAACCCATCATTTCTCAATTTCTGAGGTTACAGGAGCTTTGGGACTCAGTCAGGTTAGATTTGCTGCTGCTGTGGCTATAGCAGACCTCCTGGGTGCTGGATTAACTCCGTTACGGGGAGTCTCTCCACTGGCTCCCTTGAGCTCTCTGCTTGGGACCTCCTTGAGCAACGTTGCTCCTTTTTATCCCTTCCAGTATTACGCCTACCTGTACTCCTACGTGATGCCGCAAGCCATCCGCGACATGGTGGATGAGTACATCAACTGCGAGGACATCGCCATGAACTTCCTTGTCTCTCACCTGACGAGGAAACCTCCCATAAAGGTAAAGCCAGGGGTGGGAACTCATGCTTTGTGGACTTTCTGGAGGAACAACGATTTGGTCGATGTCTTTGGCTCTGGTCCAGGGGGAATCCAGCTCCTTCTCTCCCAGCACAGAAGCTGACGAGCAGAAAAATTAGGGTTTGACTACACTGCAGCTCAGACCAGAGGGTTTCCTGAGTTTACAAAGGTCTTTCCAAGCAGCTGATCCCCAAAAGACCAATTTGCCTTCTTTCCCTACCATACAGCAGGAGTAGGAATGATTTCCTTGCTGATTTTGTGTAGCTTTCCAAAGACATTCAGGCTCATCTGTGTCCGGGGGTTGTTGATGCAAACACTGCAGCCTTGCTGAAGTTTCCCTGCCCAGTGATAACCAATGAATGGCAGGATTTGGAGCCTGGATTTTGGATGCAGATTGTTCTGCTCTTTATGGCTGCTGGCAAACTGCTCTTTCCAGCCCTGCATATGTCTCCTCGTGGCAGGCCAGCTGCCTTGGAGATGGGGCTCAGCTGTAAATATGGGGGTGTTTTTCTGTGTGGTTTTCTTCCCATCTGGAGCTACTTCCTGAGTTTACAAAGGTCTTTCCGAGCAGCTGATCCCCAAAAGACCAATTTGCCTTCTTTCCCTACCATACAGCATGAGTAGGAATGATTTCCTTGCTGATTTTGTGTAGCTTTCCAAAGACATTCAGGCTCATCTGTGTCCGGGGGTTGTTGATGCAAACACTGCAGCCTTGCTGAAGTTTCCCTGCCCAGTGATAACCAATGAATGGCAGGATTTGGAGCCTGGATTTTGGATGCAGATCGTTCTGCTCTTTATGGCTGCTGGCAAACTGCTCTTTCCAGCCCTGCATATGTCTCCTCATGGCAAGCCAGCTGCCTTGGAGATGGGTCTCAGCTGTAAATATGGGGGTGTTTTTCTGTGTGGTTTTCTTCCCATCTGGAGCTACTCTGAAGTGGAGTTTGGTGCAGCTGAGATAAGACCAAAACCAAAGGGCACTGCAATGGGATGTCTGATTCAGGATGGACAAGGAGGCCCTTTAATCAACGGTGGCTCCTCAGCACCTCCTGAAAACTGAAGGCCCCTGCAAAGATCTTCCTCTGGGTGCCTAAAACAAGAGGCGTCCCAAATTGTTAACTCTTCTGTAGTGTCTGGGAGAGGGCAAAGTGGGCAATTTTGCCCCTCTGCTCGGCTGCCCCCAGGAGCCTGGATTTTGGATGCAGATTGTTCTGCTCTTTATGGCTGCTGGCAAACTGCTCTTTCCAGCCCTGCATATGTCTCCTCGTGGCAGGCCAGCTGCCTTGGAGATGGGTCTCAGCCGTAAATATGATGGGGGTGTTTTTCTGTGTGGTTTTCTTCCCATCTGGAGCTACTCTGAAGTGGAGTTTGGTGCAGCTGAGATAAGACCAAAACCAAAGGGCACTGCAATGGGATGTCTGATTCAGGATGGACAAGGAGGCCCTTTAATCAACGGTGGCTCCTCAGCACCTCCTGAAAACTGAAGCCCCCTGCAAAGATCTTCCTCTGGGTGCCTAAAACAGGAGGCCTCCCAAATTGCTAACTCTTCTGTAGTGTCTGGGAGAGGGCAAAGGGGACAATTCTGCCCCCCAAGTGCTGCCTCCTTCTGTCTGTAGTCGCTGAAAGGAAAGGAGTTCCTTTCTCAAGTCGTCTTTCTCCCTGAAACAGCTTCTCACACCTTAAATCACAAAAAACCTCAGCTAAGCTTTAGTAGATCGTCGTGTCCCCCTGTAAGTCTGCTCTGACAGGGCTGGTGTGGACCATGTCCTTCCTTGCGGTCTGGTGGGAGGTGTCCCTGCCCAGGGCAGGGGGTGGCACTGGATGATCTTTAAGGTCCCTTCCAACCCAAACCATTCTATGGTTCTGTCTGTAGCCGCTGAAAGGAAAGGACTTCCTTTCTCAAGTCGTCTTTCTCCCTGAAACAGCTTCTCACACCTTAAATCACAAAAAACCTCAGCTAAGCTTTAGTAGATCGTCGTGTCCCCCTGTAAGTCTGCTCTGACAGGGCTGGTGTGGACCATGTCCTTCCTTGCCTGGACACCCCCCAGGTGACAGCCAGCAGCTGGGGAGAACAACTGTGACACGTCATGCTCTGGGTGGTCCTGCTCTAGCAGGGAAGTTGGACTAGATGATCTCTATGGTCCCTTCCAACTCTAAAAATTCAGTGAAATTCAGTCACCCAGGACGTCAAACCAAGTACCTTGGACGCAGGCAGGATGTCCCCCCAGGCCCAGGGTGTTGTGAGTGGGGTGACAGTGACCATCGTTGTCCCTCTCTTCTCAGGTGACCTCCCGCTGGACTTTCCGCTGCCCAGGGTGTCCCCAGGCCCTTTCTCACGACGACTCTCACTTCCACGAGCGACACAAGTGCATCAACTTCTTCGTCAAGGTGTACGGGTACATGCCCCTCCTGTACACCCAGTTCCGCGTGGACTCGGTCCTCTTCAAGACCCGCCTGCCCCACGACAAGACAAAATGCTTCAAGTTCATCTAGAAGGAGGTGCCACCAGGCGCCCTGGGCTCCCCCAGCCGCGGGTGAGGGCAGAGGGTTTGGCTTTTTTTTGGCAGGGCTGCCAGTCCAAAATGCCTTTCGCTATTGACTCCGGCCACCCCTCCCACGGAGCAAAAAGGGACATCCTGGACTGGGACGGGCACGTTTCCCCCCTCCCTGCCTCCCACACGGCCACGTTGGGAACAGGAACGGAACAGGAACGGGGAACGGGATGTTATGGCTTCTCTAAAGACACTCCCTAGGATCGTACACTGAGGAATGGCACGTTGGCTGGTGGCTCTGCCCCTTCCCTGGCCAAGGGCAACCATTCTTTTTAATTATAATTATTGTTATTTAAAATGAAAGTGTTTTAGATTTGCCGCGTGAGGCTTTTTTTTTTTTTTTCTTTCCCTTTTTCTTTTTTCCCCACCCATCCCCCCACCCATCCCCTTTTTGCCTCTGGACCTCTTTGCCTACTCGGGGGGGGACTGTAGCCAGGCCAGGGTGGAGGTGTTTGACCACAGAGAGGTTATTCCCAGGGCAGCTCCAACCACCACTGTTCTCCCCATCCTTTCTCCCACCAGGCAACCCTCCTCTTCCTCCTCCTCCTCTTCCTCCTCCTCTTCCTCCTCCTCCTCCTCCCCTCCCGCACACCACGTCCTGGCTCATCTTGCCCTGTGGCTACTACTGAGGACTTTCAGGTGCCATTTGGTGGCAACCTCTTTGCTCGGCTCCGCTCACCACCCTGAGCCCTGCCCTTGGAGAGGGATGAGCAGGGAAGAGGTTGGACCTGGAGGGTCCTTCCCCACCTCCCAGCGCCGTGCTGGGTCCTGTGGCCATGGGGGAGTTTGGCTGCTGCCGTCTCCTCGGTGTCCTTTTCCACCCCTGGGGCAACACCGCAGGCACTGTGAAACCTCTGAAGACAGGGAGCGTGTCTGGGGCTTGGGAGCCATCCATCGGTGGGGTGGCAGGGGCTGGTGATGCCCCAGGCTCCTGCGTTGGAGCAGCAGCTTCAACCTCTGTTTTTCCACAGCCGCTGCAGCGCTGGAGCCAGTCTCTGAGCCTGGCCTGGCCTTCTCACAAGCACTTTGGGGCTTTTCCTCCTGCCTTTCAGGCCCTCGTTCCCTGGCCGTGGAGATCTGCTCTGGTAGGACCATGAGATGGGCTCCGTGAGCCTTCGCTGGTCAAATGAACCTCTTTTCCAAGGCTGGAGGTCACCTGTCAGGAGCCAGCTCTGGTGGTGCCTGGTCCCTGCTGGGGGAGCTGGAGCAATGGGAGTCGAGGTATCGGGGCCTCCTCTCGAGCTGGCTTCACATTTTGCAGAGAAGAGGAAGGAGAAGACACTGACCCTTCATCATCAGTGTGCCGGTGCCGGAGCCTTGGTTGCTCTGATGGCCGCAGTCCCCGCTCTGCCCCATCCCCAGGCCAAACGTGCCCACCTCGGGTTTGCTCGTGGGCCTCAGAAAAACTGCCTTAAACCCCCCCATCCCGTCCACACTCCCACCCTGGCTTTGGGCTGCAGCCCAAGGTTGATCCCACCAAGAGCTTTTCCTTCACAGGAACTGGGAAACGCCACTGGGATTGTGTTTGTGGGACTGGTTTTGGAGCTGGTTCCTCTCCCACCAAAGCGAAAGGCTGGTCCATCCTGAGGTCACCTGACCTCCCTGCTCAGCTCACTGCTCCCTTCTGCTTCAATCCCGGCCTGGAACAGGAGGGAAGGCCATGGATTGCCCTCTCCTGCGTGATGGTCTCCCTCAGATGGTTACGGCATCTCCTCCCAGATGGTTATGGGCAGCCTGGAGAAGCTCCTAGATGGGAAGTTGAAGGTGTGTGATTTGCCTCCATCTCCTCAGCTGTGCAGCTGAGCGTCCCAGCGCCCTGCGGCAGAAGGATGTTACCACCTGGTCGTGTCTCTGGTGTGTCCCAGAAGAGGAGCAGGGATGGTTCCATCAGCACCTCCTTGGGCTTGCTCAGAAGGTCAGCCCCACCTGCGCTCCCCTCCTGCAGCCTTCACTGCATTTTGGGGTGTTCAGTGGCCTCTCCAGCCACCTTCCAGCCGTTTTTCATGCCACCCACACTTGTGTGACAAGGGGAAAGGAAGGGGCAGCCCGTCCCCAGCCGAGCCCACGGCTCGTGCCTTCACCAGCAGTAAGAACCGCAGAAATACGGAGCAGGGAATCTTTTCCTCTCCGTATGTTTCCTTTTTCCTCTTTATTCTCTTATTGTTTTAACATCAGGTGCTCCAATCGGAGTGTGTGAAGGCTCAGGCTCCTGGAAACCATGATCAGAGGCTCCCATGAGTCCCCAGAGCACCTGGAAGGATGTTTTCTGCCCCTCTCGGAGTGGAAACGTGTCGTTTGGCAGCAGCTGCACCAGCTTCAGCATCCCCGAGGGGCCCGACACGCCTCTGCTGCCGGCTTTAATTCTCCCCTCGTTAGTAGGTGGCTCGTTAGCAGCCACCTGCAGTTGCCAGGTCCCTGGTGTCAGCTCTGCCTTTCACAGCCCTGGGCCTGTGGGGCAGGACCCGAAGGGGAGTGGGGCCGGGAGCCGGCAGCGGTGGATTGCACTTTATCTGAACAGAGAGACCCCCTTCTCGGGGACTTATTTTCAAAAATCTTAAGGGAAATCATATTATTCTGGCGAGAGACTGTAGTAGAAAGAGCTGGGGGGGGACGTGGTGTGAAGTGTTTCCCCCTGGGGGGTCGGGGTTTGCTGTGTCTCGTTCTTGGCTGCAGTCGGAGCCGGTGACAAGCCCCGGGTTGGGGGGTTCTATCTGTTGGTGGGGTTCAGTCGGAGATTTGTGGGGGGAATCCAGATTGTTCTTCATCTTTTTCCCATAGCGTTGGATTTTTGGAGGGTCCCTGGTGTTGTGAGAGCCAGGGGTGAGGCTGCATGATGGGATGGGTGGCTGTGCGGGTGGTGGGATGGTGTCCTCCTTGCTGAGACCCCCCCGAAGGCAGAGGATTTGGGAGTGAGGGGGTGAACGGGTGCTGTGAGTCGCTGGTGGCAGCTTCCAGGAGGAGGGGGGACCTGCTGGTGGCAGTGCTGGGAGGGACAGGGTGCCATGAGGAAGCTAAATGCCAGCGTGAGCATCTCCATCGCCACCCGCGGGGCTGGTGCTGTCCCTCCCCGTCCTCCCCTGCTGTGGCCCTTTCCCAAATCTTCCCAAACAGACACCAAAACCCTTCTGGAGTTACAGACTTGGGATTCAGCTTTCTGCTCCTCACACATCCCAGGGGCTGAGATGTCCTCAGGCTTCCCTCTGCCATCCAGAGAGCGATCCATCCCCTGCATCCTCCCTTGCTGCCCATCACTCTCCTGTGATTTTTGGGGGTGTCCTAGGATAACTCAAGCTCAGGTCAGGTTGTACGATCCACGTCCCAAACCAAGGAGATGGGAAGGTCTCTCGGTGGCTGCACCTTTTCCCCAGGGAAAGGGCCTTTTCCCCTTTCCTGTGTTTCTGCTGCTTCCCCCGGGAGCTGCCGAGCCGGGGTCTTTCTCCACGTTGGCTGTAAATAGCATCCTCTGGGGTGAGACAGAACCCCCCCAGGACCCCGCTGGTGTCACACAGCACGGCCCCCTCCCACCCTCCTCCCCGCGCCGTGGTTGTGCTGACTGCTCCGGGAGCACCAGGGTTAAAAAAAAATTAAAAAAAAAATTAAAAAAACCCAAACGGACAAAAAACTGAGAGAAAAGAAACACTCCTCCAACACGAGCACAATGTTGAGTTTTTTTTGTAAAAGGATCCAATAAATGGAGAGTTTAACTTGAGAGCGTCTCCGTGCCTGCTTCCCCGGGGGCTGGGACGGGGACGGGGCTCGTGGCTGCAGCTCCGTGGCCCAGGGGACACCCCAAAAACAGGTGTCTCCCCAGGTTTGTGTTTTCCCTTCAAGGAAGGGGCAGGTGACTGGTTCAGAATGGTGGAAACCCCCCCAGGGACAGCAGCATCTGGTGCTAAAGCCCCTTGTGTCCCTTGTGGAGCTTGATCACCGTCCCCCTCCTCCTGCTCAGTGCCCTGCCACCCCTCCTGCACGCGGTGCGCTGGAAGTGGGGAGCTGGACCAGAACAGGATAGACTGGACCAGAGGAGACCAACAAGAGAAAAAGAATAGAAAAGGGGAAAAAAAAAGGAAAAAGGAAAAGGAAAAGGAAAAATGAAAATGGAAAAGGGAAGGGAAGGGAAGGGAAGGGAAGGGAAGGGGAAGAGAAGAGAAGAGAAGAGAAGAGAAGAGAAGAGAAGAGAAGAGAAGAGAAGAGAAGAGAAGAGAAGAGAAGAGAAGAGAAGAGAAGAGAAGAGAAGAGAAGAGAAGAGAAGAGAAGAGAAGAGAAGAGAAGAGAAGAGAAGAGAAGAGAAGAGAAGAGAAGAGAAGAGAAGAGAAGAGAAGAGAAGAGAAGAGAAGAGAAGAGAAGAGAAGAGAAGAGAAGAGAAGAGAAGAGAAGAAGAGAGGAGATTTAAGTTGGAAAGGACCCGTGGCTGGGGAACACCTGCAGCCACCCCGCCAGGGCAGCGGCTGTCACCCAGGGCTCAAAATAGTAAATATTAAGAGCAGTCAGAGGGAAATGAGCAGTTATTAGCCAGGCAATTAATTAAAGGCCTGTGCTGTGCTCAGTGTTGTGCCTGCAAGGGAAGGATAATTGTCACCGTTTGTTTTAACCCACTAAATAATTTAATGGAGTTTAAAAAAATACCAACCCACAAAACCAACCCTTGATCAAACGCCACCTTCCTTGTGAATGCCTGACTCTGCCCTGGGGACGCAGTGAGTCCTGGAGGGACACCACGACAGGAACCCAACAGGTTTGGGGTGGGTTTTTTTTTATCCCATTCCTTTCAAGAGTAAAAAAACCAAGTGAGGTGTCCCATGAATTCCTGCCACCCTGGTTTTAGAGCCTTTCCATTCCATTTAGAGCCTTTCCCTTCCAACCCAGACAATCCTACGTCCAGGTCCCCGGGGAGGTGGCCCTGGTGTGGCTCAGGACAGCCCTCAGGTGACATCCCCAGGGACAGTGACAGTGGGGGGGGTGGCATCAGCCTGGGATTAAATGACTTGGTCCAGCTGTTTTTATTAAGGCTGACATTAACGGGAAGAAAACACAATCTATTTCTCTCCCCACAGGACTACCTGTTCCATAAAAGCCAGCCAAGTGCAGAAAGCTGATTTTTAACCTTTTCTCCCCATTCTCCCGTGGCCCAGGCTGGGAAGTGCCCTGAGAACTCAGCACTTGCTGGGGGCCAAGGCACAGCCCCCCCAGAGGAGCTGCTCAAGACACAGCCCATCTGCAAACATCGTTATTGGTGTTTAATTAGGGGGGGCTGCAGGGAGAGGCTGGGGAAGCACAGGAAGGGATGTGGGGCTCCCATGTCACACGTGGTGACAGGGATGGCCATGGCTCAAGGAGAGTCACATGGTGGCCAAGGGAATTTTTTTATTATTTTTTTTATTTATTTTCTGGACCCTTTATGTTGTTTGTCCATCAAACTGTGCAGCTCTGGTGAAAAGGCCTTTGCCATCCATCGTGTTCCACCCCCTCTCTCCCAGCTCTCCCAGGCTGCCATGGTTACCTCTGCAGGACTGACCCAGCCCCAAGAAAGGCTATTTAGTTTTCTTCCTCTCTGCAGAATGAACAAACACTTATTTTTCCTAGTTCAATTACGATCTTTTTTTTTCATTAAAGAGTCTCCACCCCCCCCAGTATGTTTATTTTTCCAGCAGGCACAACCTCTCCCTTTATAAGAAATGAACCAGTTTGCAAGATGCTGGACTGGAGCAGGAAGAAGCTTTCCTGCCCATAATGACAAGAGGAAAAATGTGAAAACTTTTCAATTGCCCCATCCCTGGAGGGGTTCAAGGCCAGGCTGGAGGGGGCTTGGAGCAACCTGGTGTGGTGGGAGGTGTCCCTGCCCAGGGCAGGGGGTGGCACTGGATGATCTTTAAGGTCCCTTCCAACCCAAACCGTTGGATGTTCCTGCTCTGCCCACCAGCAACGGGCTTAAAGCCACAAGTAAATCCCACTATAATTACAAATGCAAATGAGTCTATTCAGAAAATGAGGGCTCTGGAGCACTGGGACCAGTGCTGGAGCTGGTCTGGGTAAGAAGGAGGAAGGACTCACCCATTACCACTCAGCGCCGTTTATCACGGCAAGAATCCTCTTTTTTGAGATTTAATTACAAGGTGAAATATGTCCGATTCTGTTATTCTGTTTTCCAGGGATCACAAAGAAGCCAAGCTACTGCAAATGTAAAACTCTTATGAGGATTAACGCTACCACCACAAGTTTTTTTATCACCTTAAGGCTGCTCTTCCCCTCAGACCCCCAGCAAAGGCTGGAGTCGCTACATCCTGGCGAAGGGAAATCCTTAACGTCTACCAAATGTGATGTGGAAACTGCAATAGTAAATAGTTTTTATTGCAGAGCTGTTCTTCCACTGCCTGTGTCTCCCCAAAAGCTACAAGCTGCAGGAGCAGTTGTATTTCACCCAGGCCTTCTCCCAGGCGCGGGCGGAGGGGGGGTAGGGGAGGGAGATGCTTTTATAAACCACAGAATGTGCTTCCTCCTTGGCATTGACTGTGCTTTTTATTTTTAACACCAAATAAATACAAAACAATCCAATAAAAAAAACCAAACAGCAGTAAATCTGAGAAGTCGGTCGCTTTTAAAAGCAATACTATTAACTAAGGGTAGGCCCCAAATATATGATTTTGGGAGAGAAAGAAAACCAACCCCTCCCCAGGACTGCAGTACAGATGGCTTTGCATAAAGGACTCCCTATTTCAACCAGGATTTTGGACAGCGGAGGCTGAAAGGACAGGTTTTTAGAAGGTACAAACAAGAGGCACTTAAATCTCAAAGGTTTTTTGATGAGCACTAGGGGTTTAACTACTTTATGTACTTTTGAAAGTATCTTCCTGAGATACCTCCTCCACTGATGGTGGAGGGACTCAGGAGAAACCGGTCTTTTGTGTGTCTCAGCAAAGAGTGAGATGGATGAATCTGGTCACAACAGTGTCAAAAACCCCTTGGCATCACTAAAACACACGGCTTTTCCAAAATTCCTCTGCTTTCACAGGGACCAGCCAGGCTCTCACCACCTCGAAGCTATTCTAGATGCCCAGTAACCCCTCTTTTTTTCCATTTTTATTTTTATAATCTTTGCCTTAGCGGCTTTCTCATTCCTCTTCATGCCAGTGAAACGCATGTGCCCAATGTAAATGGAGGACAGACAGGAATTTGGATCTGGTGACCAGGAAGAAGCAGTGGGGAAAAAAAAAATATCTTAATATCTGAGGCCATTGTTTCAATATTCTTGCTGAGTTTTCTCTGGTAAAGGACTGGGGCATTGGTTGCTGAGAGGGTCACACAGAGCAGTGTCTGTGTCTGCACACAGTCTCACCCTGACCTGGAAAATATACACTCTATTTATTTACTCTGCAGTTCATATCTCCTGTTAAGATTCCAACTCCCAAGTTTACAGCACGGGAATCCCATCCCAAATATTCCAAAACCGGTTAAAAATAAAACTTAAAAAATATATAGATATTAAAAAATACTTCCTTGCTTCTCAATGAAAGGAAAGGTGGTTTCTGGTCTCTTTGACTCAGGAAATTCTCTCTCCTCTGGAAAGCTCTTAGCTCTGGGGTGTCTCTTTGCAGAGGGACCGTGTTGTCCATGAGCTAAAACTTCTGCAGGAATTTGAGGACCAGGTCCCTCAGCTTCACCCTCAGAGGTTCATCGTTGTCACAGATGATGTGTGTGGAGTCCTCCTCGATCTGAATGAGGGTTTCTGCCTCCTGGAGGAGCACGATGTGGCCCTTGGCTGTGTCCTCCACCTTCACGTCACTGAAACCGTGCTGGATGCAGCCATGGGGAGGGAGTACAAGAGAGAGATGTTACTACAGCTCAGGAAAAGAGAGATGAAAGCCCAGGGAACAGCAGGGAGGAGAGGGGAGAATGGTTACAAAGTACTGAGTGCCATTGTGGATATTCCTAGATCTCTGGGATTTGCAGAGGGAACACCCACAGGATAAGCTAAATATGGTCCTCCTTACACAGATGGACAAACTACAGAGCAGAGAGGCTGAAGTCAGTGCTTTACAGATGGACAAACTACAGAGCAGAGAGGCTAAAGTCAGTGTTTTCCACCTGCTCTGGTGGGAGGTGTCCCTGTCCAGGGCAGGGGACTGGCACTGGATGATCTTTAAGGTCCCTTCCAACCCAAACCACACTGTGATTCTCTGTATCAGGAGGTGCCTCCACAGGGAATTCCTTCCATACTCATTGCAGGGACACACATCCCCACAAGTACATTCCCAGCTCCTTATCCCCTCTCCATCTCAAGCCACACCAACATTATTCTCCCCCTCCCTTCCAGCAAACCAGCACATTTCTGAGATGGACCTCGCTTGCCACCAAAAGGCTTATTACCTTCTCAAGGGTCTGCACAAACTGGTCCACAGGAATGGAGCCGCTCAGCAGTGGCTTCAAAGATTTACACTCTGGCACGTCGTCACTCACCCTCTTCCTCTTCTTGCTGGCAGGAGGTTGTGGAGGTTTTGGAGGGAGCTAATGGATGAGAAGGTGCACAGTAACGCCGTGAATCACATCAGTTTGGTAGAATTTAGTCAGAATAACAAGTACACGAGATAGAAAAGGAATACTGATGTTGCTTTCTGTGCTGAAGGGGAGAGGAGAAACCCAGCCCCAGGCTCCACTGCAGCTCTGCACACACAGGCCACCACTTACTTACACAAATAAATTAGCAGTTTTGGT